TGGGTATGGTGGGAGATGGAGGGGTGTGGGACTGTGTGTGGAGGGTGTGGGGGTGTGTGTGGGGGGGGTGGCTCTCGGAGTCCCTGGAGTGTGCAAGTCCCTAGAGCCCATCCCCATAGCACACAGCTTCCCACACTCCCACCTCAGTACTCAGCTACAGGTGGCGACAGCCTGTGGGGCCAGCCCCACCTGGCCCAAAAGTGCTCCTGCCTGAGTCCCCAGCTCCACATGGTGGCAGGGTGTGGGGCCAGTTCCACCCAGCTCCATAGTGCACAACTCCTGCCCAAGTCCTCAGCTGCAGGTGGCGGCTGTGTGTGGGGTGAGCTCCACCCGGCCCTGTAACACGCAGCTCCCACCCAAATCCCTGGCTGCATGTCAGCAACATGTGGGGCCAGCCCCACCCAGCCCAATAGCATTCCCACCCCAGTCCCCAGCCACACGTGGTAGCAGCATGCAGGGCCAGCACCACCCAGCCTGATAGTGCACAGCTCCTGCAGCGTGAGAGGACAGCTCAGCCTAGCCCCATAGCACATGGCTCCCCACACTCCCAGCCCCCTTTCTCCCAATGGGAGTCCCTGGCCCAGTGGAGCTGTACCTGAATTGCCGCTCTGGCAGGCAGGGAGTGTGGGAACAGCCACAGGAACACCAGGCACAAGCTTGGCCAGGCAGAGTCTTCTTGTCTCCAGCTCCTCCCGCCCCCAGCCGGTGACTCAGTGCTGGGGCAGGTCAGGCCAGGATGGGGGTGGTGGTTGCTTAGCAACCAGAGCTGCACTTCCGGCAGGGACACACTGGCTTGCAGAGGGGCAGCCCAGGTCAGGACTTACAGAGGGGTCCTGCGGGCCAGATGGAATTGCCTGGCAGGTTGGATTTGGCCCATGCACCATATTTTGCCTACCCCTGGGCTAAGAGAATCTACATCAAGGTAGCTCTTGGGGATCTGGGGACCCTTCATGGTGCAGCATGGCAGCACCAGTAAGGTACAGTGGAGTTATGCCCACTGTGCAACGTGGCATGGAGATGAGGGAAACATGGAGGGCTTGCGCGAGGTACAGCAAGGGCAAAGCGTTGACCTGGCCCCAGTCTAGTATAGCATTTAATCACGTGACTTTTAATACTTACATGGTCCCATTACAGTTAAGGTGCTTGACACCTTGTAGGATTGAGCCCACGTATGATTCCATATTCAAAACAAGTTTTCTTGTGTGAGCTATGATCAGTATATTGGGAAATGCTCTCTTTCCCAGAGACCAAATGCTTTAAAGCAGGGATATCGAATATCCAGCCTCTATAATTCTGGGGTATGGAGCTCCTGATGCTCATCCCACTGCTAGCATGTCCAGATGTGGTCTGTAAGGAGCTTGAAGGGGGGTTAGTTTGACACCCCTGATGTAATAGCCTCAATGGTCTACACAGATTAAAACTGATTTTAACATACCTTTCTTGCTTCTAGAAGACCATGGAAGTGACCCTGACAACAGAAGTGGAGTCTGGGGCTAGCGGTTTCAGTGTGACTGGAGGGGGAAATGAAGGAATATTTATAAAACGAGTACTCAAGGAATCCCCTGCTTCAAAATTATTCAGTATGAGAGAAGGTACAGTCTGATCTTCCAATCGGTTTTATTTTTTAATTTTAATTAAATTATTGAGGAATTTGATATAATATTAAATCCCAAAGTATGTGTACCTATAAATATACACACAGTATAGCCTATTATCAAACAGCAGCAAAAAAAATCCCAGTTCAGCAAACCTTATGCATTTAACTTTACATTAGCTCTACATTATCTATACATGTAACTTTACTCTCCCATGACGAGTCTTGCAGGATGGGTACCTTAAATGGTGATGAAATGTAGAGTCTCTTTAAATTCTGACATACTAACTTCCACTGGAACTATAATATTTCTTTTCAAAAGAAATATAATAATAAAGGATATGAATTCTTTAAACTGCAAAGGTAAAAATAGCTTCCTATTATAATTGGGAAGAATCTGCTCCAGTTTATGGTGAAGTTTTAAACATTGTTAAGTGGATGAATATGCACTGATACAAGAAAAATATGATTTAAGCAGAAACCATACCCCTGTGCATAAATATTTCAATAAATGGATACATGTTTTGCCTGATCATCAATTGGTTATTTATTGTGTATATGATTGTTAAGTACAATTAACTTTTTAAAATCATGCAATAGAGCAAGCTCATATTTTAAAATAAAATGTATGGTGACAATTTCAGGTGATCAGCTTCTCAGTGCCACAATATTTTTTGATAATATCAAATATGAAGATGCACTCAAGATTCTTCAATATTCTGAGCCATATAAAGTCCAGTTCAGCCTCAAAAGAAAGCTTGTTGAGAAAGAAGAGTTAGAACAAATTCATTCAACAACACAGTACAAGAAAGAAAAAATAATTCAGGTAAAGTTATCTGATCATGCAGCAAAGAACAGAGTAATATGTTAATAATTCACAACATAGCAGTATGTGTTTAGAAAAAATATATATTATCATTTATTATTCTAGGAGTCTGCTTCTGGTCCAAAATCAAGTAAATAAGAGTTATATTCACATTTTTTCAGTGTTTTTATATTTCTCAGAAATTCATTAAAAAAAGACCCTCTACTTTTGACCCCTTCTAATCAATATGCTCATTGACCTCTTTGAGGCCAGAACTTGGTTATAATTCTCCATCTGCTTAAAATGCATCTTACTTATATACTTGTAAATTGAGGACTCCCTTAAATATATACATTTAGATTTTCCATTGAACAAAAGCTAAAACATACTATATGGAATCTAAAGTTTGATCTTTACATGCATTTAAAGTATTCATAGAATAATTTCATTTCATGTAACTTTTAACTTAATTTTCGGTTTGTTTTTCTCTAAGGAGAGAGAAATTTTAAACAAAAAAGACCAAAATTTTATTTATTTCTTAGAAACATTCACTAGAATCACCTTCTTCTTTAGGGAAAAGAATATAGGGAATATATTCCTGAAGAAACAATGCAAATTTCAGAAAAGATAATATCAGAAGAAGACCAAGAAAAGTTAATTGTAAAACAAAGAGTGGGAAGAACAAAGCGACCCAAAAAAGATAGATTGTCATGGCCAAAATTCCAGTCAATTAAAAATAAAAAGATCTTGGGGCACAGAAGATCTCATAGTACATCAGATGCATATGAACACACACTACAGGATATTTCCCCAACAAGCACTGATACTGAGTCTCAATTTCAACAAGAAAAAATCCAAACTAAAGAAAAAAAAGGAAGCCAAAAGAAACTGAAGTTCCCTAACATTGGATTCAAGATGCATAGAACAAAAACAGACATTGAAGACAAGCAGAGATCAGAAAGAAAAACTGTGATACATACTGGAAAGGATAAAAAACAGAGAGAAGATATCAGCATGGAAACACCAGAAATATTAACCGTTGAGTACACTACTTCTCCGCTTGAAATACAAACAGGTGAAATACATGGCAGCATCAAAAAAGACATGGAAAATGGTTTACCGATCCATACAAAAAAATGCCCTGAAGTTGAAATTAGCATCAGAAAACAAAAAGGCCAGACAGCAACATCAAAGCACATTGATATACAGCAAGAAGTACCTGTTATAAAAACACAGATAGAAGAAACAATTTCAGAAACACCAAGCAAACAAATACCTCAGGCTTTACCAAGAACACGAAAGAAGAAACAAAAAGGTTCTGCTGAACAAATACAAATTCAAAAACCGACCAAAATAGAACTACAACCTGAAGGAGTAGGCCCAATACAAAGAGAGATTAAAGACCATACACCTCCAAGTTCAATTCATGTAAAGGGACTAGAAATAGGAATAGCAAAGACAGAACAAAGCAAAACACCACAAGAAGCAGATTCAAAAGAAAGGCAGGTGGAGAATGAGACTCAAAAATCAAAACTACAAAAACCAAAGGTTGGAATAGCAATTCCAAAAGGGAAAGGACCAGAAAGTGAAATCACTTTAATAAAATTAGAAACTGACACTCCAAAGACAACACAGAAAACAGAAGAGGTTGGAATAAAAATGGAAGCAACAAAAAATGAAATAAAATCAGATATCATGGACATAGTACCCGAAGACTCAGTATGGAAAATGCAAATGCCATCCCTGAAAATGCCCCCAAAACCTGAAATGGACCTTAGAGCCATGAAGGCGGACATCAGCGCCCCATCAATGGATGTTTCAGTGAAAAAGTCACAAATGGCATCTAAATTCCCACCTGACGAGGATAAAATTATAAATATTGAAAGTGAGGTAAAAATAACAGAAAAGGATACAGAAGAAAAAGAAAGCAAATTCAAAATGCCAAAGCTCAGATTACCTACATTTACTTGGTCTACTACAAAAGATACAAGTGCAGAAGTAGCTGGTGAGGCACAACTCAAAACAGCACAGATGACTATACCAACTGCTGGAGGAGAAGGAGACATAACACTGAAAGGATCTGACATACAGGCTCCAGGTCTGGACCTCGACATTGGACAAGCGCAGGTCAGTGTGTCAAAGAAAGAGCCAGAACTTTCACTGCCAAAGATCCAGGCTCAAATAAAAGAGGAAGATTTAGCAGTAAAAGTCCCAGAGATGCAAGCCAGCATTGAGGTAACTACAGGAAAAACTGAGGGAAAAGGGATGAAAATCCATAAGAAGAAAGTAAAGATGCCAAAAATGGGTTTTCCCAAACCGGATATACACGCACCAAAAGTAGATGTCACCCAACCCACCTGCATGGTCAGTATTCCCCAAGTGGACATGAAAGAAGAACCAGTGGCCACTGAAGTTGACATCACTGAGCCAGATGACAAAGCTCCAGATCTCGGGGGAAGCATGGAAATACAGGGAATACAAATACACTCAAAAGTAACTGTGGAGGGTGAAGGTGAAATAAAACTGGCAGAGAAAGAGGCCAAAGGCAAAGACAGCAAGTTCAAAATGCCCAAATTCGGCATGCCTTCCTTTGGCTGGTCCAGCTCCAAAGAGGCGCGGGTGGGAGCAGCCGATGTGGAGGTGAGCCTCACCGGGCCCCAGGTGACCTTGCCGGCAGCCAGCGTGGTGGGAGAGGTCAGCGCGCCTGCCGCTGAGATCCAGGCTCCCGCTGTGGAGCTCGACATTGGGGTGTCTGCCAGCAAAGAGGGGGAGAAGGGGAAATTGAAGATGCCAAGCGTGACGCTTCCCAAGGTGAAGATGCCACCCGTGCAGGTCAGCCTGCCGAAGGCGGAGGCTGATGTGTCACTTCCCGACACCCAAGCTGAATTGAAAGGCGGAGACTTCGCAGTGAAGGTGCCAGCTGCAGAAGGCAGCATCGACATGCCTGCAGGCAAAGCCGAGAGCACAGGGATGAAAATCCACATGCCCAAGGTCAAGATGCCTAGTATGGGATTCTCCAAACCTGACATCAAAGCGCCCAAACTCGACGTGGACGTCAGCTTACCCAAAGTCGACGCCACCCTGCCCACCTGCGAGGTCAGCCTTCCCCAAGCGGACCTGAAGGCGGGCCCCGTGGCCGGCGACATCAGCATCACCGCGCCGGATGTGAAGGCTGGTGCACTGGAAGGCAGCCTGGATGTGAAGACGCCCCAGATTGATGCCGAAGCACCATCTGCCGAGATTGCAGTGGGCGCTGCCGAGCTGGACACCGGGGGCCTGAAAGGGAAGGTTAAGATGCCAAAATTTGACAAGCCAAAGTTTGGAGTTTCCCTCCCCAAAGGCCACGTGCCAGAAGGCAAGATCAGCCTGCCCGTGGTGGAAGGGGACCTTCCCAAAGCCAAAGTGACCGCCGAGGGGGCGGTCGTGTCGCTGGAGACCCCCGAGGTCCAGGTGAAAGCCGAGGTGCCAGGCACCGAAGCCGATGTCTCCAGCTGGAAAGTGCAAATGCCATCCCTGAAGATGCCCAAAATGCCAAAAGCTGACGTCAAAGGCCCGAAGATGGACGTCAGCCTGCCATCGGTGGACGTCAGCCTGCCCAAGGTTGAGGTGGAGGTTGGAGGGCTGGAAGTTGCTGCTGGGAAGGTGGAGGTTGAAGGTGAAATCAAACCTGGCGAGAAGGAGGCCAAAGGCAAAGACAGCAAGTTCAAAATGCCCAAATTCGGCATGCCTTCCTTTGGCTGGTCCAGCTCCAAAGAGGCGCGGGTGGGAGCAGCCGATGTGGAGGTGAGCCTCACCGGGCCCCAGGTGACCTTGCCGGCAGCCAGCGTGGTGGGAGAGGTCAGCGCGCCTGCCGCTGAGATCCAGGCTCCCGCTGTGGAGCTCGACATTGGGGTGTCTGCCAGCAAAGAGGGGGAGAAGGGGAAATTGAAGATGCCAAGCGTGACGCTTCCCAAGGTGAAGATGCCACCCGTGCAGGTCAGCCTGCCGAAGGCGGAGGCTGATGTGTCACTTCCCGACACCCAAGCTGAATTGAAAGGCGGAGACTTCGCAGTGAAGGTGCCAGCTGCAGAAGGCAGCATCAACATGCCTGCAGGCAAAGCCGAGAGCACAGGGATGAAAATCCACATGCCCAAAGTCAAGATGCCGAGCATAGGATTCTCCAAACCCGACATCAAACCTCCCAAACTCGACGTGGACGTCAGCTTACCCAAAGTCGACGTCACCGTGCCCACCTGCGAGGTCAGCCTTCCCCAAGAGGACCTAAAGGAAGGCCCTAAGCACGGTGATGTCATCCACACTGCACCCAAGATCCAGGGTCCCACAATGGAAGGCAGCCTAGATGTGAGGGTGCCCCAGATAGATGCTAAAGGGCCATCCGCTGAGGTCGGGGTGGGTGGGGCTGAACTGGACACCGGGGGCCTGAAAGGGAAGGTTAAGATGCCAA